AGATTCTAATAGCATGGAGGATTGGATAGATATCTAGCACATCTCAATTATTCCTAATTTGACCAGGCTGAATTAATGGTTTCCTCTCTTAGAGGACCATTTCTGGGTTCCCAGCTAGAGACTGGTTTAGCTCTCAGAAAACTTTACAGATGCTTCAAACAGTCAGACTCACATATGATAAAAAAAAAAATTTCTAAAATAAATGATCAATGTGGAGATGCATGCTCCAGGTGGTAGTGTAACTAGATGGGTGTGTAGGCCCTTGAAATTGCACCTAAGTATTGCTAATAATTTCCTATTCCTCTGCTCCAGTTCCCTAAACAAGACATATTTTCACACTGTGCCTTTGCCTAGACCAGTTGTTCTTCCCCTCACCTCATTCCTACACAACCTTTGGATAGCAGCTGTCAGCTCTCCTAGGAAGTCACCTCTGACTCCCATCATCTAGGTCAGGGCACTGCGTTCCTCCCTTCCTTCCCCCCCACCACCCCAAGACGCAGACTGCACCACAACTGTCTTGTTTTGTTCTTTTTCTTCCCAGACGTAAGAGTCAGGACTGTCCTGCTTTTCATTGGAGTCCTAGGACCTATACAGTACCTATAACATGTATTACATGCTATAGTTGTCTTCCTGGCTTTTCTAGAAATTTCTAATGATAAACAAATTTATCAACTTTATGGATGATATTAAACAGAAATCACAACTATTTGTTAAAGACCTCAACAGACTTATATGGACAGTCAAATTCTGGAGAGCAATTTAAAACTCCTCAATTAGAGTCAGATCATGTAGTGGATCTCAAAAGTGTTGTTTAAATTAATGTTGAGGCAGTATAATTGAAAACAAAATCAGCCAGGTGGTAGCTCATGCCTGTAATCCTAGCTACTAAAAGGCTGAGATATGAGGATCACGATTTGAAGCCAGCCTTGTCTCCAATAAACTTCTCTAAACAAACAAACAAACAAACAGAAATAGAGCTAAGGCTCAAGTGATAAAACACCAGCTTCCAGCAAAAAAGCCCAGAGATAGTGGCAGGCCACTGAGCTCAAGACCTAAGACAACACAAAAACAAAACCAAATAAAATAAAATGAAAACAGCAACAAAGAACCACAATAACTTTCTAGCCCAGAAAATCTCTACACAAAGGGAGAAGAACAAAGATTTGGTTAAAAAACTTAAATAAGCATCACATAAGTCACTAAGGAGGTTGACAAGCAGATACAAACACTTCCACACATTCCCATTGTAATTCACCTGGTAATTCTGGTGATCATGTGCTTGCTAACTGTAAAAAGGAAAAAGAAAGTAATTTGCTGATCTTTATGATTTGCAGTTTGGAGCCAGGTGGGAGATAGGAGTGTTGCTTTTTTGATGATGAAATTTCATGAAGATGGCTTCTAGGTCTCTGGGAACATACCCGAGTTCTAAATCTGGAAAAGCTGATTTCACTTTAGAAAGTTTTATATACATTTCAGAGAAAAGACTCATTTATAATAGTAAGTTTTCTAAAGTAAATGTTTCAAGAAGTGGGAGTGTATCTCTTTCTTTGCACCAGAAGAATTAATTTCCTTACTTCTGGCTTGTCTTTCTCCTGACAGTGTTGGCCACAGGCATTTTAATTGTAGATGCTGACTCTCAGATTCCTAAATCCTGAGGTTACTGAAGAGGACTGTTGACAGCAAACCCTGTGAAGAGGCTTTGGGAAGGCAAGAGTGAATTTTACTTGAATTAATGGTTATGGGTAGGTTGTATCAGATGTTCCCTTCCATTAATTGCCAATAAATTGAGATACCTAAAATAAAGGCATCATGAGCATTCGTTTGGCCAAGACAGTCAAATCTCAAATCTCAAGGACTGTGCAGCAGATAGTAAATGTAATATTACAAAACAACAACAACAACAAAAAGCAGGAGGGAGCTCATTTGGCTTTAGATTTCATTGTTTAACTTAGCTTATGAAAAGGTTCCCTATTATCTGGCAATTTGGTTGATTACTAAATCACATAAAGCCCAAAAAGTCAAAGTCAGTAGGTAATTGTGAAATTTCTCTGATGGTCCTAGTTCATTTGGTTCTCTCCTGGGGACTAAATCTGTCTTTTGTCAGTTTCTCAATTTTGGATGCAAATTGGAACCACTTGAAGATATAGCTGAATAGAAAAATGCAGCAAGGAAGACTGAGCAGTAGAGAGGGGACAGAGGGTGCTGTGACTCGAGTTAACATGAACAGCTGGGGAGTGAGCCCAGCTTCACCATTGTGATAGGCCAGAATCTGACAGGCTTGAGACCTTCAGAATTTCTAGGTACTGGGTCAAAATCTACCTATTTATAACTCACATTTGATGCATCTTTTCAAAGACAGTCTAATAAATTGGTTTCAAGGCTACTCAGACAAAAACATTTGGGATGCCAACCAGTTTCCCTTGAACATCTACCTGAAGCAAAATTAGTGGGTTTGATTCCTAGGAGCTCTGGGTGTTGCAGTGACAGACCCTCTTTTGTATTATAGTAAGGATGAGTTGCAGTTTAGCAGGTGTGGCTGTGGCAGTTACAACCACAGAAATGGAACAATTGAAACTGAACAGGAAGTATAAGGGACTCTGTGAAAATGCCTAGAGGTGGGGAAAATTATGAATAGATTTTTAGGACTTGTACTTCCCAGATAATAAAGGATGCTGAAAAATAGCTAGTTGAAGCTTGAATTCCAGAAGGTTCTGAAATGATCAGATTACAACAGACAGAATCCATGAAAACAACTGGGCTTTGAAAAGCCTGAAGGCCGTTGTCAGAATAATGGGTAAAGGGTGTTGAGTACTACGTATTTACTGCACATTAAACATCTAGTTCAGAGATAGGAAGCACAGTCTGCGGAGGGAGAGGAAACTCAGTCCAGTAAAGAAGGAAATTGCAGGGGAGCCTGAGTGCTTGCTTTCATCTTATAGTGAGTTTATTTTCCTTTATTAGTATTTAGTAAGTAACTGCCATTTCTTACTTGGTTTTGTTGTTTTTTATTTATTTATTTTGTTATGTTTTTCATACTGATCCTGGGGCTTGAACTCAGGATCTGGGCATGTTCTGAGCTTTCTGTTCAAGGCTAGCATTCTACCACTTGAGGCACAGCTTCACTTCTGGCTTCTTTTTGGTTGTTAATGGGAGGCAAGTCTCACACTTTCCTGCCCAGGCTGATTCTGAACCATGATCCTCAGATCTGAGTACTGCTTCCTTTTTAAAAATTAGATTAAATGACTATACTGGGGCTCCTTTTCTTTATCCACTTGTCTGCTCTCCCCCTCCTCTTCATCAGCCTTTCCTGACATGTTCCAGCTTTCTGGAACTCATTTAATTTGTTAGCAAGTTAGTGGTTCAAAGGAGATCCACATCCCCTCCATTTACCACACATTAGACAGTGCTTATGTATACATGCACATGACTCTTTCATGTTACTAATCTCCAGGAAAGAAAAAATATGTCCTGTGCAAGCTTGACTTAATACTTTCTTTTGGTGAATGTAGTGATATTATTTTCCATACTGTCACCCTTGCAATAAAATACTTATCTTTGTTATATATTGTGATTTTTAACCACCCCCTCCCAAAAAACAAAACAAAACAAAACAAAATGGCTGAGCACTGGTGGCTTATGCCTGTAATCTTAACTACAAAGGAACCTGAGATCTGAGGGTCATGGTTCCAAGATAGCCCAGCAGGAAAGTCCATAAGACTCATTTCCAGTAAGAAAAAGCTCAAGAGGTAGAGCACTAGCTTCCAGCAAAAAAACCTCAAGGACAGTGCCTAGCCCTGACTTTAAGCCCCAGAATACACACATACCCACAAACAACAACCAAACAGGTGAGGCTCTGTTCCTTGGAGATCATTCAACAGAGGACTGAAGACCTTCCAATCAGAATCTGTAACTCAACTATAGATGTAAAACCAGGAAGTCACTGACCAGTGACCCTCTTGCCCTCTGTCCACCCAGGTCTGAAAGCACTGTAGTATCTTCTCTTTTCTTAGGGTGGAGATAGAAGTCAACTTCAAAAAGAAAAAAAGCAACACAAAATTAGGTATGAGATATTTTTCCCCCATTCTACCTTTGACTTATTATATGTGGATGCAATTCACTATCAACTATTTGCTCATGGTTTACTTTTTTTTTTTTGTAGTATGTATGCAGCAAATGTGGTACATAAAAGGGCATGTAAGAAGCCTTACTATTTACCATAATCTGTCTTTAAATCACATCCCCCTCAGGTATATAAACTGTCTATGAAGGAGGTCATGAACACTTTAACTTAGTATAAAGACTCCAAATCTGAATTCAAGCTGAATTACTACTTCTGACTATTCTCTATTCTAGCTGAGTTCAGTGAGATCATGTTGACCATCCAATGACAAACCCATGGACAATTCAAGGGCAGTTACAAATGTTCCCATTTCCAGGCTGTCAATAAAACTTTTGCTTAGGAAGAGCATAAACCCTTTACCTTCTTTGACCCTAAAAGAGAATCACAAAATTTCACACCAAACTTTAATGACCATATAATGTTTTTAATGAAGAGAAATCTGCAGCTTTACATTGTAAAGTGACTTGGCTAAAGAGAGTGAATTTAGAAGGGAATACAGCACCATTTCCATGGGCTATTGTTTGAAACTTTATACCATCTCCAGCAGTGAAAATCAAAACCACTCAAGCTGGGTTTTCTGACTAGCTCGCTAACCTGCATATACTTTTTTTTTTTTTTTGGGTCTGGTCATGGGCCTGAACTCTGGGCCTGGGCACTGTCCCTCAGCTCTTCTGCTTAAGGCTAGCGCTACCACTTGAGCCACAGCGCCACTTCCGGCTTTTTTCCTTTTTGCTTATGTGCCGCTGGGGAATCGACCCCAGGGCCTCATGCATGCAAGGCAAGCGCTCTACCACTGAGCCACCTTCCCAGCCCCCTGCATATACTTTTAACCTTTGAAAAAACTGTGGGTGAAAAGTAAAAAATGTTCCCAAGTACCAAATGCACATTCTTTACACACAAATGCATTGTCTAAGTAGGACTTTAAATCTGCATGTGGGATTTTTCCCCTTAAAACATAATAACTGTTCTTGAAGACTAATACATTGTCTTAATCGTCTGTCTTCTGTAACACTAAATACAATACTAATCGTGTTATTGTAAATTACATGCACATATGAACTATGTATATAAGAATAGTAAAAGTAGATGTTTTCCAGGTAGTGTCCAGGACCTGGGCTTTTTGAACCAAAAGGCACAATCTCCAAGACTGCTATGAAAGCAAATAGTTTCAGAAGGAATCTGGCTGGCACACGAACCCCAGAAGGTTGACTTTAGGCCTGACCAGGAGGATGTACGACACCATCAAACTCTTTTACGTTCGATCTGATTTTCAAAGCCGTCAGAAGCAGTGTTCGGAAACGGCAGGAATGTCATTCTGGGTCTTCCAATTTCTTAGAGGTCCCGGTGCTGTCACTTGCCGTGGTTGCAAAGGCACTGGGGTTGACAAGAACAAGGAGCCAAGATTCCCAGCAGGGTCGGACCCAGCCGCTTGGCGCTGGGAAGTTATTGGTGAGTGGGAGCCAAGCAGGCCCCAAATCGTGGAGCGTGCTGGGCGTGCAGCCGGCCCCGGAGCACCGGTATGCGGCCCTGATATCTTCCTTCACACATTCCTACCAAAGGTCTGCTTTAGGGCGTCCACGAAGGCCTCATACTGAGACAGGATGGGACTCTCCCGCTCGATGAAGGGGACCACCCACTGCTCCGCCGGCCCCGAGAAGCGGCTGATGAGAAAGGCCACCTTCAGGGTGTCGCTGGAGAACCTGGCCTCGAAGAAGCTCATGTAGGCGTGCGCTTGAATCAGGAACTCGGGGAGCCGGGCGGAGTCGCCCTGGAAGGATTCGGGGAAAGCCACGGGGCAGGGCGGGGGACGCACCTGGGCCAGGAGGTTGGCCTTCTCGCACAGCAGGCGCCGCACTTGGTCCATGAGCTCATTGTTCTCCCTGCGAAGAGCGTGGTTCTGGGTCAGGAGGTCTTGCATCATGCCGGCCAGGGCATCCATTCCAAACGCCCACCGAGAAGCTGCGGCCCCAGCGGCTCCAGGCCCGCCCGCCAACCTCCGGAAACGTGTCACCCCCCGAGGGGGCGGGACCCAGGCCAAGCGTCCAATGCAGACACCGCTACGCGACCCTCCTCTTGCGAGGGCTCCGCCCCTGCCCCGACTCTCCGGAAGTACGCCATTCGGAAGGGGCGGGACCCGGGCAAAGCGTCCATTCCACGGTCCCCCTGGACCCTCCTCCCCGCACAGCTTGAGTCGGCCGCGCGGCGCCTCCGGAAGTACGTCACTCTAGGAGGGCGGGACCCTGCCGCCACGCCTTTCTGCGTCTCCGAAACTAGGCCAGTCCTGCGCTGGCGTGCGCTGAGGCTGTGTCACGGGAGACAAGCGACTGGAGAAACGGGGTCCGAGGGAGGCCAAGGCGGCGAGTTAGGGCTAAACGAGGAAACCTGTGGAGCCAGCGGACGGACGTTTTGGGGAGCGAAGGCCGCGCCTGGCGGAGGCATCCGACTTCGTGGCAGTGACGTCACTTCCGGGGTCTTCCCCCGTGGGCGGGTACGCGGGTGTTTAAAGGGGAAGCGGCTGCGGCCGCGGCTGCGGCGGAGCGTGTCTGCGCGTGTGTCGGCCGGGCCCTCAGGAGTGAAGGCCAGCCAGGCCTCAGAATGGACTGTGCTGGGGACCCCCAGGCCGCACCGCAGCACCGGGAGCCGCCGTTATTATTCAGGGTGCTTCTGTGTTCCAGCAGCTTCGATCGTCCGACCCAGTCTTCTTCACCCGAGAAGCCACTGCTGTTTTGGGTCGAAGAAAAAAGCAAATATCATTTCTGAACGAGTAGTACAATTTTTATGTTGACTCGAGCGATGGGAACTGATCACTACCAGAAGTTTTGTCACTTTCACGAATTGAGTAGATTTTAATTCTGCCTCTTACGGATTGCCTACTTTGTTTTAGTAAGGTGTTTTTGCAATTGCAGCTCATAAATTGTGTCAAAACAGCCTAAGTCTCATCTAGATGTGTTTCAGTGTCAGTTATTTAATATGAATGGTGAGGGGGGAAAAAGTCTTGGCATCAAAAATGGAAGCGGCCTTTTAGGAGCCTCAATGAAATCTGCCCTGTTCGTCTCTGTATTTTTTTTTTTTTTACAGATTCCAAGCTGTCTTATAGGACTTTATAGTAAGTTTTTGTATCTGGCAGGACAGGTTCTCTTCTGCTTTACTTGTATTCTTGAGAACTGTCTTGGCTACTTGCTCTTTTATATTTGCTTTCTAATTAGCTTGTTGAATCGTCAGCTGAATCATTTTACCCTTCTGGTTTATTTGTTCTCATGCTGTACCAGAGCGGCCCCTTGAGTGCCCAGCTTTTTGATCAAGGCTGGTGACCTACCATTTGAGTTCTACCACTGGCTTTGTGCTGGCTAGAGTTTGGTGAAATTATCAGCCTGAGCTGGCTTCCGACCTGATCTTCAGATCTCAACCTCCTGAGTATAGGCATGAGTCAACAACACCCCACAAACTGTCAATTTTGTTGATTTTTCCTCCCTGAGAACAAACATTGGTTCCATTGATTCTATTCTTTATTTTGTTTGCTACTCATTTATCTGATTAAATTATTTCTAATGACATACATTGGTAGCACAAGGGAGCCTCATTGTGATAATTCCATAGACGTGTGCTATGTACTTTTAACAGTTTCACCCCTCTGTATTCTATTTTTCTCTCTTCGAATTCTTCCTTTTCTAACTATTTAGTGGGTTTCATATGCTATCTTCATATGTGTGTGTGTGTGTGTGTGTGTGTGTGTGTGTGTGTACTATACTCTGATCCTCTTCACCTATATCTTTGTTCCAGTCTATTTTTTCCTCCTGTCTGCTTTGAGTTTAATTTGCTCTTGTTTTTCAAATTTCCTTAGGTATGTTACATATTCATTTATGTCTTCACACTAAACTCATATGCTGAAGCATCTATCCTTAATGTAACTATATTTGAAGATAAGTTCATTAGTGAGATAGTGGGATGGGGTCCTAGTATGATACATTTGGTGTCCTTGTTAAGAGAAGAAAAGAAGCTTTGTTCTGTGGGAATGGACACACAGGAAGAAAGTCATGTGTAGATACAGAAGTCTCATGTCAGCAAGTCAGGAACCACCCCTGATGGCACTTCATCTTGGACTTCTAGACTCTAGAGCTGAGAAAACACATTTCTGTTTTTCACCCAGTCTTTGATATTTTGTTACGCAGCTCTATTAGACAAATATAACATATAAAGTTAGGTGTGGAGGTCCTTCTAATGTAGGCATCTGTTATGCATTTACCTCTGTGAACAGTTTTCATTGCATTCCATACAGTTTGATTGCAGTTATTTCTCTTAATAAGTTTAATATACTTTATTACAACTTTGTCCCTGTCAAACGCAATTGGGTACTGTTATTCTATATATGGTCTCTAAAGCCTGTGTGTGTGTGTGTGTGTATGTGTGTGTATGTGTGAGAGAGAGAGAAAGAATGTGTGTGTGTGTGTGTGTGTGTGTGTGTATGTGTATGTGTGTGTTGGTCCTGGACCTTGAACTCAAAGCCTGGGCACTGTCCCTGAGATTCTTTTGTTCAAGGATAGGGCTCTACTATTTGAGCCAGAGATCTACTTCTGGCATTTTGGTAATTTATTGAAGATAGTCTTATGGATTTCCCTGCCCAGGCTGGCTTTGAATTGTGCTCCTCAGATCTCAACCTCCTGAATAGCTCAGATTACAGGCATGAGCCACAGGGTCAGCTGAAGCATTTTTATACACCATAAGGTGGTAGAACTACAAGGACAACAAAAATCATGGTCAGGTTCTGAAAGGGTGCAATATTTGGAGGATAAAATACTTGGAAGATAATATGCAAGAGAAACATACAACAAACTATCTCCAACTGAACATTGGAGGATATAAAAGAGGAGGATGTTAGGCATCATACCCAGTGAGATGGACATGTAAATGGAGAGTGTGAAGACAGACTAGGAAGGAAAGGATAATTTTGCAGTTACAGGAGCTTTCAAGTTCACAATATGTAGGCATGATTACAGGCTGGAGATTTGGGTAAGATCTGATGATGCAGACCTGAGCCCAAATATGGAAAATTCAGAGAATATTTCTATTTTTCAACCTGAATGTAAAATTCTTTAGGGAGATGCAGTCTTTGCTCTTGAAGCCTTCATCTGGTTGAATATGGCCTGATCACATCATGAGAGCTTAACAACTTAAAAGTCAACTGACTAGATGTTAATTGTGTGTTTAAAAAAAAAAAAAAAAAAATATATATATATATATATAGTGAAAATACTTACAGAGGGGGTTACAATTACCTGGGTACATTTCTTTTTTTTTAAATTTTTTTTTTTTTTTTTTGGTCCGGTCGTGGGGCCTGAACTCTGGGCCTGGGCGCTGTCCCTCAGCTCTTCAGCTCAAGGCTAGCGCTCTACCACTTGAGCCACAGCGCCACTTCCGGCTTTTTTCTTTTTGCTTATGTGGTGCTGAGGAATCGAACCCAGGGCCTCTGGCATGCAAGGCAAACGCTCTACCACTGAGCCACCTTCCCAGCCCCATGAGTACATTTCTTATCAAGCATTGTTGCCTCCTTTGTTTTCCCTTCCCATCCCTTCCCATCACCCCCCCCCCCCCAATAATTGTGTTTTAAAAATACTTTCACAGCAACACAAAAGAATCAGCTTTGTCCAAGCAACATGTTAGACTCATTAATATTAACCACGTAGAAATTTGGTCATTTTAGAAAAATGTATTTGAAGTTTTTAGGAAAAGATGTAGCTGCTGGGTGCTGGTAGCTCACACCTGTAATCCTAGCTACTCAGGAGGCTGAGAACTAAGAATTCAGGTTCAAAGCCAGCTGGGCAGAAAAGCTGGTGAGATAGTTATCTCCAATTAATTACCAAAAAAGACCCCCCAAAAACAAAAAAACTGAAAGTGGAATTGAGGCTCATCTGTGATTGAGCACCATCCTTGAGCACAAAAGCTGAAGGACACCACCCAGCCCCTGAGTACAAGCCCTACAATTGGTACACCCCCCTCCAAAATAAGAAAAATATATAGCTTACACAAAATTGAACATTTATGAGAAACCATCAGGATGTTAATTTTTAATTTTTTAGGAAACAAGTCAGGAAGATTTCAAAATAACTTTTATTATTATTAATTTTTTTATTATTTTTTGGGTCTGGTCGTGGGGCCTGAACTTTTGGCCTGGGCGCTGTCCCTCAGCTCTTCAGCTCAAGGCTAGCGCTCTACCACTTGAGCCACAGCGCCACTTCTGGCTTTTTTTTTTCTGCTTATGTGGTGCTGAGGAATCAAACCCAGGGCCTCATGCATGCAAAGCAAGCACTCTACCACTGAGCTACCTTCCCAGCCCCTTATTAAATATTTTTTATTGTAAAGATACTGTACAGAGAGGTTACAGTTACATGAGCAAGGTAATGAGTCTATTTCCTATCAAGCATTGTTGCCCCCTCCTTTATTTTTTCCCTTTCCACCCCACCTCCTCCCTCCCCCTCCCGAAGTTGTAAAGTTCATTTTCAACACAGTGTCTTGAACATCTTGTTGTGACAATGGGTCATCCTATAACGTTATTTCAGCATTTTGAAAATAACATCTTTCTTTAGGCAAGTGAATGTATAACTATGTAACTATATAACTATGTAAGTGAGAGATTAAGTATTCAAGATATATTAGAGTAAATGAGCAGTTGTGACCAAGGATAGTTTAGTGTCAAATAGCTTCCAGTGTCCAGAATGTACTTTTTATCCATTGCTCACTGGGAGATCATTTGCAGTGACTCATTGTGAGTCAGGAAGCACAATGTCCTTTGATGTCACATTAAAAAGACTTGTGAGACTTAAAATACAGGCACTTGATGAGTGAACAATGCCTGGGATTGAAGGAGCATTTTAAAAAGTACACTTTATTACTTTTGGGAGATAGTTTTGCTCATGGAATGTGTGTTATTTGGATGCGGGCGCTACACTAAAGCAATGGCTTCCTTTAATAGTTTGTAACCATTTCTAGTGTGCCAACTAAATCACCAATCTTAGGGATTTATTAGGACCATCAAAAGGATGAGACACATTGAAAGCATTTTAATAGGGACAGTCTCTTTACTGAAGGATCTTAAATGATAAATTGTGAAGAGCCATTTGTCAGTTTAAGATGGCATCTGTTGGGTTGGGAAGGTGGCTTAATGGTAGAGTGCTTGCCTGGCATGTATGAGGGCCTGGGTTCGGAAGTGGTGTTGTGGCTCAAGTGGTAGAGCACTTGCCTTGAGCTGAAGAGCTCAGGGACAGTGCCCAGGCCCAGAGTTCAAGCCCCAAGACCAAAAAAAAAAAAAAAAAATTAGCACTTACAGTGTGGGAAACAAAATATTAATGAGTTCATTGAACTCAACCCTTTTTGTTGTGTGTGTGCATGCGTGCGTGCACACTCCCATATGTGTGCATGTGCACATGCACAAACACAAGCACACTTATCAGAACTTGGTCTTGAATTTAGGGTTTTGCAATCTTGCTTTTCTTTTTCACTGAAGGCTGTTGTTCACCATTTGAGTCACACCTCTACTGTCTGAACTCAAAGTTTTAATAGCAAAGGAAGACAATAATGTGGCTTACTGAATTATCAATTTAACAAGGAAAGGATAAGTAGTCCTTAGAAAGAATCTTAAGACCAACTGTTATAGTTGAGCTTCGTGTGTGTGTGTGTGTGTGTGTGTGTGTGTGTGTGTGTGCATGCACGTGTACCAGTTGTGGGGCTTGAACTTAGGGCCTGAGTGCTGTCCCTGACCTTTTTTGCTTAAGACTAGTGCTCTACCACTTGAGGCACAGCTGCACTTTTAGATTTTTGGTGGTTAAGACGAAATAAGAATCTCAAGGAATTTCCTGCTTCAGCTGGCTTCAGACCTTGATCTTCAGATCTCAGCCTTCTGAGTAGCTAGGATTATAGATGTAAGCTACTGGCACTT